CCCACTGTATATATATATATATATATATATATATGTATGTGTGTATCAAACCCAGCAGAATTCTTTTTCAAGATGCAGGGCTGGTAATAAATGAATAAGTAATTACAAATATGGATCAGCTATTTTTCTGAGATGTTACAGTATGTAACTAATATTCAAGACATCATAATAAGTAATATTCTACCACAACACGGAGCGAGATCATATGCAGCTCTTATCGTACTGTCGGACAAGCAACAATCGCAAAGTACAGATAAAAATCACACTGCTTCTGGTTTTAAGATTTTTATGATGTACGTTGGACAGAATCACGTGAACCTGGTGCACAGGAAGGGCCGGACCAAAGTCTGTCCTCATCCAGGCTGCGGGAAGAAGTTTTATCTGTCTAACCATCTTCATCGGCACATGATCATACACTCAGGTACAGCCATCAGATATTATGTGCTTGTGCCAGTGTTACTTTAGTATCAGTGGTACACTATTATAGTTTCTGTTCATTTAAAATTAACTTTAATATCTTCTGTTTTCACTCTAATTTGATTTAAAATGTTTCAAATTTGGTTGTTTTTGTCATTTTTATTAGTTGTTTTTTTTCTTAAATGTCTATATTTTTTATTATTTTTTATTTAATAGTTTTAGATATTTTAGTTAAACTAAACAAAAATTAGAAATTGAAAAAACTAGTTAAGTTGCCTTAACAATTAGCTGAAATAGAATAAGGTTATTTTTTATATATATATTTTATTTGATCCTTTTCAGTTTACAATTCACAGCACATTTTTGTTGTCTTCTTTTTCTTTTCTTTTTTTATTGCTGCAGGTTTAGTTGTAGTTTTTCAGTATTTAGTTTCTATTTCAATTTTAGTGTTTTAACTTTTAACATTTTAATTTAACTGATATTTCTCTGATTGCATTTCTTCTAGCTGTATAGTGACAAATAGTTTTATATCTATGTCTATATCTGGGTGTATGTATATATATTTTTTTGTAAATATAAAATGGACTTGCACACACATTATTATTATATATAATATTATAATTATATAATAATATAATATATTATATTATATTATATAAAATAATAATATAATATATTATGTAAAAGTTACTTAATTTTGTTTTTTTTAATCAACTAATGATATTTATCAGTAATCAAAAATATATTTTTGCATTCGTGCAGGTGTGCGAGACTTTATCTGTGAAACATGTGGGAAGTCATTTAAACGCAAGAATCACTTAGAAGTGCACAGACGAACACACACGGGAGAGACGCCGTTACAGTGAGTTCAGTGAAAAGGTTCATGTGGGCTAATATATTTATTGAATGTCACTTCATAAGAGTTTTTCTTGAACCCGTCCCTACAGATGTGAGATATGTGGTTATCAGTGTCGACAGAGAGCGTCACTCAACTGGCACATGAGGAAACACACGTCTGAAGCGCACTTCAACTATACGTGTGAACACTGTGGCAAACGCTTCGAGAAACTCGACAGCGTCAAGTTCCACAAACTCAAGAGCCATCCAGACAAACAGCCCACCTGAAAGACGCTTGAAGTCCTGTGTATGTGAAAAGATTGATTAAGGCTGTGGAACAACGTGTTATTTAGCAGTAATTGCATTTTGTGCACTTTTAGGTGTATTTTTTAATGAAAAATCTTTTTGTAAAAAATCAAGACCTGGTATTTACCTAATATATGCTTGATAGACATTCAAATAGAGGAGAAAAGGACATGCAAAAACGTACAGAGAGACACTGATCGAGAGAATCGACGCAGTTTTTGTTTTTTGTCAAATGTGTGTTTTTAGTTTATTCCTGTGCTGGACACAGAAAAACAAAACTGTACTTCTGCTGACACTGTATGAACAAACATATTAATGGTTTACACCAATTTTTTAATCTTATTATCCAAATCAGGGTGATATAATTAAAGTATGTCTGCTGTACCTTGCAGAAACCCATACTGTTTCATTAAAGCTTCAATTTATTTACATTGCCTGGTCCAATCCACATTTTTACAAACTTCGGTTAGAACATAGTCTTCTATGTAGCCCGAAATATTCCTGGTCAGCATATTGTATTTATCATTTATAACTTAAGCTACATTGCAGCTTTGACGGTTGTACACTTACCCCATATACTTAAATTGTAAGCACATAACCATCAACACATTAGTTTTTTACAAAATGTATCCATTTATATCAGTCCTTCGCTATCCAGGATATAGATGCATTTTTTTCTTCATCAGAACAGATTTGGAGAAATGTAGCATTACATCACTTGCTCACCAATGGATGCTCTGCAGTGAATGGGTGCCGTCAGAATGAGGGTCCAAACAGCTGATAAAAACATTACCGTAATCCGTAATAACGTTTCCGCCAGAGATAGAGTCCGTCTCCTGTTGCCATCTCACATCAACATCCACATATTTGTTTAGAACTGTTTTAGACCATTTTCGCTTGATCTGTGCATATTTCTCTTTTGATTCAGACGAGACATTTTTACTGGAGGAATCAATATTACAGATTTTGGACTTAGCCAGAAACAACAGTTTGAAGTTAAAAACTTTGTAATCATGGATGTTTATTACAAACATTCAGATTTTAAGACATTAATTGAGTTGTGTGGGTTACTTGTGGATTATTGTGATGTTTTTATCAGCTGTTTGGACTCTCATTCTGACGGCACCCATTTACTACAGAGGATCCATTGGCGAGCAAGTGATGTAGTCAACAAACCAGCTCATCTACATCTCGGAAGGCCTGATGATAATTTTCAGCCAATTTTCATTTTTGGGTGAACTGTTCCTTTAAAGGGATAGTTCACTCAAAAATGAAAATTCTGTCATTTACTCACACTCAAGTTGTTCCAAACCTGTGTGAGTTTCTTTCAGCTGTTGAAAAAAAATATATATATATTTTGAAGAATGTTGGTAACCAAACAGTTGACGGTAGCTATTGACTTTCATAGTATTTTATTTTCCCATGCTATGGAAGTCAATGGCTACTGTGAACTCTTTGGTTACCAACATTCTCCAATTTTTTTGTGCTCAAAAGAACGAAACTCACACAGGTTTGGAAGAACTTGAGGGTGAGTAAATGACAGAATTTTCATTTTTGGGTGAACTGTCCCTTTAAGTGTTATCAATTTATTTTCTTCTATTTAACTCAGAATTTATTCTTTTTAACTCAAACTTTTAGAATCTAGGTAAGCTGAAATTCTAAGCAGAGGGACATTATTTCCTTCAAGGTTCAACATGATTCAGCATACATATACTACTTATGTATAAATACATGCTTGTATTTGTAGATTCTTAGTTGGTGGTGTTGATAATATAAACATTTCCTTTTTTCTCTCTCGTTTCAATAGTAAGTCAACGGTCATATTTCACATACCTGAAGCTATTTTAAATGCATATGTCTACATGTAAACATTCCAAAACTACAACAAATACTCAGTCGTTCAGAATATGTGCACTAAAACAGAAGTAAATTGTACTGATGGAAGCATTGTATAAGACTAATGCATTTATCTAAACAAAAATCATTTCACATGTTTATGCTTCTTGGTTCATGAAAAGCAGGAACCCTGTGATGCTGATCATCAGTAATAATTTGTGAGAATGGCTCTGACTGCACAGGGAAGTGTTATTGAATATTTCAACTCTCGGGTAAAGAAAGTTCCCCTTGTGCTGCTCTTAAATATCCAGAAGAACCCCATAGATACCAAATGGTATTGTCTGTTTATTGCAGCGTTTTAGCATATCTCTTTAGGGGGTTTCAAGTGAATTATCTTGATTTCTGTGGGAGGCTGTACTTCATTTACATACAGAAGTTAATTTGTGTGAAAAACCTGGGAGTAGTCTGTTTTCAATCTTTATGGCTACCTGTTCTATTGTTAAGAGAGTGAGACCCTTTTACCAGACACACAGAGACCTTTTAAACGACTTCGAACATGAATTGTTGCATTGTTTTAAACTCTTATTAAGAAATTCTTCTGATCTAGCCAAATGGCATCAATAATCTTACAGTTAAATCTCCCTTTGGCCCCGTGGGCTATTCATAGGGGCACCTGCGGGGACATAACTGTTTGCTCTTTGGCTGGATTCTTTCTATCGTCAGACTTTCTGTAGTGCTGGCACCTGTAACTGGCTGTGATGTTTTCGTTGCTATTGGTGAGATGTTGGAATCCAGTAGCTATCTGGTCTGCCAACCATGTAGAGAATTGAGATTGTTGGGTTATTTTGTAGGAGTTAGATGCTGAATTGATTGAGCCAAATAAGCCGGCTATATTGCCTAACAGGTCTCGTTTTGACCGAGCAGGTGAAATTTGAACAGCGAGTCTGCTTTTGTAATAAGAGATTAAATCATCGAATCGTGACTGTAGCCATGCATAGGATTTATCATCATCGTTACAGTGTTCTGTGTAAGCAGAGAGAACATTTGAAATATTGTATGTTACATGTGTCATTACTAAATTTACATCATGTAATAATGTCTTATTTACATTTCCTCTAATCAGTCCACCAGGAGGAATTGGGTGCAATTCTGGGCATTGCCTGGGCCTAGTGTAACCACAGGTGGTTAAATTAAAGCAATGATGGACAGTCCATGAACAATTGTGTGGGCTGGTGAAATTGTCCATGCTAGATTCGCATTCTCCCACACAATAAGTTCCTTCCTTTCGGTTAGTCCACACAAAAGTTTTTGGTTTTTGTTCGTTTGGTGTAAGTGAGGTAAGGTTGTAAATTGATTCTGTGAACCTTAGGTGTGTGGTGTTGTGTGTTTCAGTGTGTGAGCACCTATATGTAAAAGGTTCCAAATTTTTTATAAGATAGCATAGCTTTGGATCAATACCATCGTTGTTCTTCTCATATAATGTGTTCATGATCCCTGGATCGGTTTTAAGTTGATACCAGGCAGTGATGTTGTGTACGAATTTTGGTGCATGTGTGTATCCTGAAATGTTTTCTGTCGGTGGGTGTGTGCTACCTGAGCTGCAACAAATTCTTGGGGTGCAATTTGGATCTGGTGCTAATCCGGGAGGCCATATAACTATCTCTTTTGGTACCACTGCAATTTCAGGTGTGGAAGGCCCCTTGGAATATTTCCACACCCACCTTCCGCATTTCAGGTTGTGTGTGAGTGAAACCCTTTGGCCCAGTCTGATGCACGTGGGCCCGGATATTTTTCTCTTGTCCGGTCTCCTTGGGATTGCTGCAGTCAACCACAGCAGTTGTAGACAGGGAAGAAGGAGCTCAAACCTCATCTCTTCAGTGAGAATCAAACTGAAATTCGCGCCGGAAAGACGTCTCTCGCCTAAGTAGGGAGATCACGGAGGCTGGTCACCACTGTAAGGTCCGCCCACTGGTCCAACGACGGTAGCCAGTGATCCGGTAGAAGGATTCTCGCGTGTTGCTGTCTTTCCTTTTATGCAGCACAACAATATTAAATTAAATACATTTTCTTGTGTTTTACCTCTTTTATTCATCTGACTCCAAAAATGAAAAGGGTTAGGAGAGTTGTTTGTTACTCATTAAATTTAGGTGAGTGTTTGATGCTGCGTTCATTTGCATGTCTTTGTTTTGTGGTAGTTTTTAATATAATTGTCCTGTTTTTATTATTTGTACATCACGTTGTTCCTAAATTCTTCAAGTTCCTGGATAATGTTTGGATTCAGTGCAGTTTCTGCTTGAATGAATTAAAGGGTGACTGAAAGCACAATGAGCTTGTCTGAAGTGTTATGAGGATGTTGAGTCATAACTGAGGCCTTGAGAGATTAAGACTGTCAGGAACAGTGACGGCTGCGTGTTTAATTGGCTGGTTGAGGTTGGGAAAATGCCGGTTTGTCTACAGGTGGAACACTGACGTCATTGTTCCTCTTAATAATCAACATTTTGTACCTGCATTGACTGTCTACACTCTTAAAAATAAAGGTTCCAAAAGAGGGCTTTCGCAGCGATCCAAGATCCATTTCGGGTTCTCAGAACCTTTCAGAGAAAAGTTCTTAAAAGAACCATTTTTTCATAGTGTGAAGAACTTTTTAGTCATATAAAGAACCTTTTTCCACTCTAAAGGACCTTTTGTGGAATGGAAAGGTTCCATGGATGTTAATGGCTCTTTATGGAATCACAGATGCTAATAAAGAACCTTCATTTTTCATAGTGACTTCTGCTTCTAAAATTCTTTTTTGAACGTTTTTGCCCAAACTTGTACTTGTACCCAAACTGTTTAATCTGAGGTCTATTTAACTAATTAATTGAAAAAAACTTTAATTAAGTGTAATCTGAGATATCATTTTTTTTAATCTGTTTTTGTCAAGCAATCTTCAAAATTCTCTTGACAGTAATTTTATAATTTTACTTGTCACTCTTGTTTTCTTTTGTTCCAGCTGTAGTTTCTTGATTTTCTGGTCCTGGGATCCGCCAGAATTGTGAATCTTTTGTTCCTTTCGTGTGATGTCCTAATTTCCTCCTATGTTTTTCTTAATCCATAATTACACTCCTACTCATAACAAAGCGTTAGTACATAATAAATATGCATCGTATGTACACACATACGCATATCCCCCCTAACACTTAGCTTTGCACCAACAACACATTTTTCTGTTGACATCAAGTCAGTTGTTGTGTTGATCCGGTCTGAACCTCCGTGGACTGAACAGTCTCCGTGACTACAGATGCATTACACCCACTCTCTCCCTCTCTAGAGAGAGAAAGAGGGAGAAGGAGGAGTGGTGTGTCACTCCCACCTGTTCACTCCATCCTCCTCTCTGTAAAAACTCTTATTTCACATGAGCGACAGAAGAGAGAAAAACAGGAGGCGTGCGTGACCACTCTTCGCCTAATTAACAGTCAGTCACTCAGGGATTTACCAAAGCTGCAAACCTCAAACATTTGACTAAAGGTAAGAGATTCTCCTTCCTAAAGCTAATCTAGAAACCTTCAACATACCGTTAGACATACCTTGAAGTAAAGAACTTAAACCTAGTTCTTTATGGAGCTGTGCAGATATCAGTGGGTATAATTGTGCTTGTTCATGCAGGATGATGTTGAATGAGTGTTTTGAGTGAGGTGTGTTCGTGTGACGTTCACAGATTCGGAATGAGATCTCATTGTTGGGTTTGTGTCAGTGACAGTCTGTGGCTGAACAGCATTTATTTGAAATTGAAGTCTTTTGTAACATTTTAAACGTCTGCCACTTTTGATCAATTTAATGCATCCTTATTGAATAAAAGTATTCATTTATTTGTAAAAAATCTTACTGACCACAAACTTTTGAATAATAACTGTGACACTGCATGATGCCAGTATTAATATTTACATTACATTACATTAATTATTTCAAAGAATACCATGATAGTGCCATGGTACATTTCCTACTACATCCCAAAAAAATGTTAATACCATGGAATTACAAAAAAAATAACGCTACTGCATGGTATTTTGAGCAAGTATAGTAGTACCACTATTTAAAAATGAATTTCAAATTACCGTGGTATTCCCAGCTGATACCTGTAAAATGGTACTGAATGATTGCCATGTTCATATACCATGGTACTTCACAAAAGCTGTACGAAAGCTGTCATCGGGGTGGTACCTTTAGCTACTAATATTTACACTTCAGGTATTAATATGTACCTTTACCAATATGGACGCTTTAGGTTCAATACGTTTTGAAAAGGTACCGCTTTTGTTTTCCGAGAGTGCATGGTAGTTTTTGTAAGTAAACTCGCAAATATTAACTTAACCCAATAATGATTAATTTGTGTAATAAGAGATTTTAATAGGTCAAAATCATATTAATTCATTTTGACAATAAAGAATAACTGAGAAGTAATTTTGTGAAAGTAAACTTTTAGACTTCAAGTGGGGATCCAGTGATATAATGACTGATTATTATTATATATATATTTTTATTTTATATTTATTTTTTAATGAGGTGTTATGTATAATGTACAGTACAGTTAATGTAAATATGTAAATGTTAATAACTGTAATACTTAACCTGGCATTAAACATTAATTAGTATATTATGCGTTCTGCTATCAAATAATACAAATGTGACCCTGGAGCACAAAACCAGTCGTAAGTCGCTGGGGTATATCTGTAGCAATAGCCAAAAAATACATTGTATGGGTCAAAATGATAGATTTTTATTTTATGCCAAAAATCATTAGGATATTAAGTAAAGATCATGTTCCATGAAGATATTTTGTAAATTTCCCACTGTAAATATATCAAAACTTAATTTTTGATTAGTAATTATGCAGATTATGCATAGCTAAGAACTTCATTTGGACAACTTTAAAGGCGATTCTCTCAATATTTAGATTTTTTTGCACCCTCAGATTCCAGATTATCAAATAGTTGTATCTCGGCCAGATATTGTCTTATCCTAACAAACCATACATCAATGAAAGCTTATTTATTCAGCTTTCAGATGGTGTATAAATCTCAATTTCGAAAAATGGACCCTTATGACTGGTTTTGTAGTCCAGGGTCACAAATGAAAGTTGCATGTTCTCAAGGGACATGGTCCGTCTCCATCTCTCCCAGAAATGAGCAGTACCCAGAGCTCAGAAAGACAATGTCCCATGCACTCTCTACTGACCAACACAAAGCCCGCTTTATTGTTTTTGCAACCGCTTTTGCTATGCACTGTTGCCTCTGATTTACCTCTGAAACAATGACAAAATGAGGAAACCCGATAGGCTAGTTGAGCGTCGAGTTTCAGGGCTTCAAAAACCGGATTAATGATGCAGAACACGGTGAGTAAACATTAACACACCCCTATAAATGATTTTCATGTAGGAAAAACAAGCACACTTGTGTTTGCTGTAGGCTACACATACCGCATTCATCTGTAGAAAGCATTTTCATTTCAAAGACTCGAGGCTACAAAATACTAACACGCTGTTTGTTTATTCCTCATGTCTCCATGGACTCTTAAATATTCACGGGTGACCAGGTTAATAATAGTTTACAGACTCAAATCTCTCTAATATGGAAGCAAACAGCTGATTTTGTTAGATGGTGAGACAAAAATCTTTTAGTTTTTTTCGGAAGAATTGTAGACAACAGCTTCAACACGACGAATCAGCAGACTGATAAACATTGACCTGACTTTTGACCTTTTGATGTTAAAATCATTATGATATTATTTCATCCTACGTTTGTTCAGACAACTTTTGTTCACATACAGAAATGTATACATACACTTGTATATATATATATAGACACACATATATGTACACCGTTTAAAAGTGTGGGGTCTGTAATTTTTTTCTCTTCTGCTGCTCACCAAGGCTGCATTTATTTGGAAAAAATACAGTAATATTGTAAAATATTATTGCAATATAAAATAACTGCTTTCAATTTGAATATATTTTAAATTGTAATTTATTCCTGTGCTGCAAAGCTGAATTCTCAGCATTATTACTCCAGTCTTCAGTGTCACATGATCCTTCAGAAATCATGCTAATATACTGATTTGATGCTCAAGAAATATTTCTTATTATTATCAACGGCATGTATTTGAAATATACATCTTTTTTTAGCATTATAAATGTCTTCACTGTCACTTTTGACAATTTTAATGCATCCTTGCTGAATAAAACTATACATTTCTTTTTTAAAAATCTAAATATATTTACGTGTATAGACCAATGATTCCTCGAATCATGAGGAGGCCTGAGCTGTTACTTTTCCAAGTCATCTGACTTCTGATTTTTACCTGAAAAATTGCTTATAATTAAATGATATTTTACAACCTGTCATAACATTTGAAGTCTAGTGATGCTAGGACACTCGGCACATTCGACAGTAACTCTGACAGTCTGTAATTGTGAAACATGTCACATCAATAGCACTTTATTGATGTTTTTTAAATGTTTATCTCATCTGTCTTTGGACAATGACCCGATCAGAACTTTCTGTTCATCTTAAACCTAAACAAACTCTGACCTCACATCAGAGACGTGAGCATGTGACACACACGTTGTGTGGTGGTGCTCAACCCTTGGGTTGCAAGTGGCCTTAAAGGTTTATGGACGGTGATATCAAACCTATTTAAAGTCCTATTATATTATTATTTAAAGTCTATAAAGGCCTCATAAGTGACCTCAGCTCTTTGCAGGACGTGATGCGTCACCTGACAGCAACTTATAGACTGTCATGTTGGTGGACTATAAGCAGAAGTATAGCTCATTAAGTGAAGTTATTTGTGTTCAGAGGCGATCAGGTTACAGTAATGCCTCTCTGAAAGGTGCAGAGTGTTCTCTTCTCTTGGACTTTATATTGTGTTTTAAAGGAAATGCTCTTGTAAAATCACCTCCCTTTGTTTCCATAGAGTCACTGGCAGTAACTGTTTTCACAACATAGTCGAGCGCTGATTATCAAAGATTTGAACACAAATAAAGACGTTATTCAAAATGACATCAGAATGTGGCATATATTTAAATATTATAGCATTTTTACAGTTTACAATTATATATTTATAGGTGTATGTGTGTGTATATAACCCCTATATGTATACTAATATATATATATATATACACATACAGTATATTAGTGCTGTTAAACGATTAATCGCGATTAATCGCATCAAAAATAAAAGTTTACATAATATATATGTGTATTCTGTGCATAGTTATTATGTATATATAAATACAAACACATGCATGTATATATTTATGAAAAATATGTTATGTTTATATATTAATATATATTTATATATAATATAATATATAAGAATATAACTATATAAATGTATATACATGTAAATATTTTCAAAATTTATACTGTACATGTGTGTATTTATGTATACATAATAAATATACACAGAACACACATATATATTATGTAAACAAAAACTTTTATTTTGGATGCGATTACTTGCAATTAATCGTTTGGCAGCACTAAGTAACATTTAAGTTATATATGTGTGTGTGTATAAATATTATTTAAAATTATAATATTTAGATACCAAATGTTACTTGACATTATTTTAAAATGTATACAAATTATATATTTTAAAGAAAAAAAATCGAAAAAAATATTTTTTAGTTATGAAATTATGCATTTATTTAAATACATAAAACATATGCCTAAATAAAAGTACAAGTGATAGTTTTTCATTATTATTATTATTTATTTTTATTTTATTTGACTATGTTCTAACCAAAATCTGACCATCTGTGTGAGGAGTCACAAGCTCAATGTCCCTAATTTTCTTGTATTTGAATAGTGACCTAGAATCATGCAGTCTCTTGCTATTTCTTATCTTGGACTTTTGGACCTCATTGCATGTGTGGAAAAGTAAAGCAAGGTTTTTTGTCTCTCCCATTGTGTTCACTACAAAAAGCGGTTTCAAAGACTCTTTAAATATTACCTCAGGTCCTTTGGTCTATTCAGCACACTATTAATACACAGATCTGGCCTTAAAGAGAACTGGATATGGCATATGTTTGTACAGTATTGTATTGCATTTGTTCAAATTACACACCTTATTCTGGTTATATATGTATAAGTACGTCCTCATTTCATAAATTCTCACAATTACCAACCTTTGTTGACCAGTTCTTAGTATTGATCAAAGCTCAAACACTAGTTTGACGTACTTAACTTAACTAGTGAGGCGTATTTTTAGAGTTTTCTTTTTTTTATAAGAGTATCTTATTAAAGAGTTTGTGTGGTTCGCATGAACTTTTGATCTGTGCGACCAGCGTTCTGAGGTTAACGAGGGTTGTAGTTAAATTATTTACTACAGCAAAACCACCTTCTTTTCCTCGCAGCACTTCTTGTTCTTATGGTGTACTTTGTTTCACAAAATCATCTAAGCGATTATGTTTATTCTATGTTCATTTATTAAAAGCTGTCAGTTTTTTAATAAAGATTAAGATACATTTTGGAATAAAACACAAGGCAAAACAAAATCCCCATAATATTATATTATTATAGTAGTATTAACAGTAATAATAAAAACAGTTCTTTGTTGTTAATTGTTTTTATTTTACTTTTTCAGGTGTCATATCCATCCAATAAAAATGGGTTGCTTTGGATTTTTGAAAGCCATGATGTTTCTCTTCAATGGTGTCATCTTTGTAAGTAAAGCTTATGTTTGTTTGCTGATGTTTAAATATATTTATGAATTGCTCAGCATTATAATATCCAGCCTTATTTGCACTGTTTCTTTTTTTCCCCCAGTTGATTATGTTTACAATTATTCTATCGAATCACTTCAGGTTTACCTGCTTTAATGTACAGTGACAGTGGCCATGCTTGAATAAACACAGAGACTATCTACTTATAAATAGTTTCTCTCACTCCAAAACATGTATTTGCATTTACATTCTCAGCTGCTGTTGTCTCAGTGAAGTGACTCAAGACTATATTGCACAAAATCTGCAAAGGGGTCATTAAATATAACAAAGCGTGTAAAAATTAATCAGTTATCAAACTTTGATAACTGCCTTAAATTAATTCAACTTTTGAAAATATTGTTTTTTAAACCAGGAAAAGAGGTGTTTCTTTTATTTAACCCCATGAAATGTAGATCCTGTTGTAAATAAATCTCTTTTTAAAACTTGTTCCATTATTACCCCTTAGCAGATTTGAACTCTTATATTGAATGCCAAGTGCGATGAAAATATAGCTAAAACATGGCTCTGCTGTGGCAGCAACATTTATATCTTGTCTGCTTCTTAAACAGTGACTTATTGGTCCAAATACATTTAGGGTGTTAATATGAGGATCATGGCACATGTTTAAATCAAGTCTAATTGTTTTTTTTGTGGTGCAGCTGGCAGGAGCAGTTATTCTAGGTGTGGGGATCTGGGTGAAGGTGGACAGTGGGTCTATCCTGAATTTTCTGCAGAATATACAAGGAGCCCCAGGTGAGCTGGGGCAGGTGTTGAACGTAGGATACCTCCTCATCGCTGTGGGTGCTGTGCTGCTCATCCTGGGCTTCCTGGGCTGCTGTGGAGCGATCCGAGAGAGCAGGTGTATGCTGCTGCTGGTATGTCAAAGCAGACTCACACAACACATAATGAGGTTCCCACGATCCACTCTTAAACCCCTTTAAGAGTGGATCGTGGGAACCTCATTATGATGCGATTTCAATTTGTACTTTCTCTTTGGAGTGTTACAAGCTCTTGGTGCATAAAGAAGATCTGTAAAGTTGCAAAGACTAAAGTCTCAAATCCAAAGAGTTATTCTTTATAAGAGTTAAGAGTCAGCCACACCTACCTAAAACGACTCGTTCTAACACGCCCCCACATATCTATGTCACGATGTGGGAAGATTTGCAAAACACCGCCCAAATGTTCATGCAAAGAAAGAAGGTGTAACTTTTATTCTCGCTGTAGTATTGTTGTTGCCGCTGCCGCCATGTCGTGAAGGTGCTGTGTTTCGTTGTGAAAGCGAAACTACTTTGGTTGGCCTTCCAAAAGAGGACGACACATGTGGTTGCCGCAAGCCCGCCGGACGCTCCTTTGTCGAATCCGCCGGCCGCGCCGTTCTTAAGCCCGCCCACCGCCGCTCACTCAAGCCGGCCTCCGCTCACGCTAGGCCTCCGTGTGTGACGCTGTTTCGTTGTGAAAGTGAAACTGCGTTTCATTACACCAAATACACAAAATAATGTTATTTTTAGCAGCATCATATGACCCCTTTAAAATAAAGGTTCCATGAGGACTCTTTAACATCCATGGAACCTTTACATTCCACAAAAGGTTATTTAGATTATTTAAATATTCTGCACACTAAGAAAAAAGTTTAAGAACCGTTCACATTGGGGCAGCAAAAATGGTTCTTCTAAATGTAGAGAATTTAAAATATAAAACAAAATATTTTGATTTATACTGTTTAGCTTTTAATTCATATTTGAAAGCCTTTATACATATACACTCCTTCACTGTCGTAAAGCTCCCTCTACTGCCCTCTAGTTGCGATGCCGCAAAACGACTGACAGCTCGATGCATCACATGAAAAGACGTCCAATGATAAACTAACTGTGTGGTTGGGCGTACTAATAAGATGGGTTCAAATGCTATTACAATTTTTCGTTGAAAGATAAATTTCTTTATTTTTCTGGCAGTGACCATGCTATTGATCTTGTTAATTTCTTTGTGTAAGCCATTGTACATTGTATATTTTTATTTATGCACAAAAACAATTTTCTCAAAGCCTCGCCTATTGATCTGGTGTCTTTCTTACTGAGATTTCCCTTGTAAAAACTCATTTATGACAATAAGAATAACAAGATTTTCCTTCCTTTTCGTTTTATGTTATTGTATTTCAATGTTCTATTTTCTTTTCCCTACTAAGGTGGTGTAAAGTAGCCTACAGAAAGATATTTATGAAAATATTGCATATTTCATTGTTGTGGAAAACTTTTCCCACTTTTTTTTTTTACCTTTTGGCGTTGCTGATCATCTAAAAGAGGGTGTTAAACTATTTTAATTATTTAAATTTTTTTGGTCATTTCATATAGGCCTTAAGAACTTTGATTAAGAGATTGAATTCGGATGTACAAAATATTAGAGATTTTTTTATATGCGCTATTATGGGATATTTTAGGCCTACTTATGTAACCTAGGCTTTAAATTTCCTTTCTTTTCTTTTTTAAGGGTTATAATGTTATTGCTCTTTGAAAAATGCCATATACTTTTATGTCTTCATAAGACCTAATTTATTAATTAATTTGTTTGTTTGTGTTGATATTTTAACCTTGCAAGTGTGAAAAGCTAAGTCTATAGAATGAACATGCTTAGATGTGTTATACGTAAGCTGCCTGATATGTATTTCTTTGTGTTTTTTAAACGTTTGAGTTGTACCTTTGCGCATGGTAAAACACACACACACACACACACACACACACACACACACACACACACACACACACACACACACACACACACACAATATACACACACACACACACACACACACACACACATACACACAGACACACACACACACACACACACACTTATACACAGACACAGACACACACACACACACACACAGTAAATAAAAAATAAATTTAATTATTTTATATATTTATATATATATATTAAATATATTTTATCTATGAAATAATTAAATAATCATAATCATTAAATATAATAATTAATTATAAAAAAATATATATATTATTCATGCACACAAAAGTATTTAGCCTAATCATGAATAAAAATAATAAAATAAATACAGTAATAAGTATTAGATACAATTAAATGTATGCATTTAACATATTTAGAAATAAAACAATTTTGGGGGAAATTACCTATTAAACAAAGATTTCAAATAAATAAATTACAATAAATTATTTACATACAAATAGTTCGTGCGTCATATGATCACTCCTTCACCCCACCGCTGGATGGCGCTACTAACTCCTGTCCCTTCGCTCTGGTCTCCTGCCATTAAACCTGCTGTGAGCCCGAGGAGGAGTCAAGAACTCCGTGTTCTCACATCACACACCCACTTGTGCCAATCGAGCTGTAGATTGAGCCGAGCTCTGAGCCATATTCCCTGCCAGCTCGAGTTTCCCACCCTTCCTCATCCATGCAGCATCTTCAGGCGCAGTGAGAGAGACTTTCCTCTGGAGCTCTGAGAGAAAACTCTGCACAGCACTTGAGGCAGGTGTTCGTGTGGCCACAAAGCCCAGAAGAGGACAAACAACAAAATACACCATGTCCACTGGGGAAAATGCACCTGGTACAGAAAAGTGAGTTGTTGATGGCTTGTTTATTTGAAAAGGAATTTTGAAAGTGTTGCATTTCAAGTTTCTACTACTCAGCAAAACTGAAACTTTCATGCTTTGTGGTTCTGTAAGTCTCTAAATGGCTGATTCAGTGAAATTTGTTTTTCTCTTGATGTCAAATTTTCACATCTCTTCCTTCCTTGTTTTGCAAGAGTCTGGTTTGAGCTCAGCTCATGCTCTCAGTGAGAGAATGAAACGGCCATCACTAAATATAATGCTTAAGAAAGCTTCACTGCTGTCAGATGTGCTCTTAATGCTGTTTAAGTGGAATCATTCGCAGTGCAGTGTGACATTCATATTCTTATCCAAAGGCGCTGGCTGTCCTTGCCTAGTCTGTGTACTCTGAGCAAACATCAAACACCTTGACTAGTGACACAGTGTGTGTGAGCCATATTCTGCATTGCATTTGTGCTTGTTAAAGGTTAGAGATACCTTTAAATTACTTGTAAAGTCATGCAATTGCTTTAAACCAGTTGGTTTTGCATCTCTAACAGGCTGCATGTGGATTTAAGCAAATCCATGTTGGTTAGTTTATACATTTCATAAGCAACAGGTGCCAGAGGGCTGTATGTCTCACTTTGAGACTATGCATGTTTATCTGCTCTTTAATCTAAATTAGACTCCAAAAGCAGGATCAACCAGTTGACATTAATTAGTCCTGCTAAATATATCTTCAGTGGTCATGTGCTGAAAAACTCTGCATCTGGTAGCATTCATAATTTATAAAGGGCGCTGCTGACAGGTCTGAATGGAGTCTTGGTATTTAGTAGTAAATGTCATTCATTTCACCAAGTGACTTTGCTTGTGTTTGTGTGGGTTTACTTAACATGAAGAGCTTTGGAGCAAAGATGTCCCCAGACGTTAGCTAAATATGACAAACCCAGCTTTAGTGAAATTAAATTAAATAATTAGATATAATAACTTAATTTTATGTAAATGATTTGTAAATTTAAAATTAAGTTTTGTCAAAATGTGTTATACATTTTTGTGTGCATGAAAGTAATTTAAATTTTATCTAAATACTTTTTAAATGTATTTATTCATTGTAATTAATTTGGTTATTTTGTTCCACTAAAATGTAAATGTGAACCAAAATCATCACAATTAAAAGAACCAAAGACTTAAACTACTTCAGTCTGTGTGCATTGAATTTATTTAATACACGAGTTTCACAATTTGAGTTGAATTACTGAAATAAATGAACTTTTCCACGACTTTCTAATTTATGGAGATGCACCTGTGTGTGTATATATATAATGTGTATGTATGTAAATTTGGATATACATAGACACATTTTTAGCTAAATAATTTAATTAAAAAATAATTAATTAGTTAACTTGTTCTAATGCTGTCTGTCAATTGATAATTGTCCCCTATTTTATTTCATTTTAATATATCTTTGTGTGCATTTCTGAATTGTGTTCATATTATGGGATACTTATTGTATGATCTCTTTGCTATCATTCAACCTTGTTACATCATAAATTACTATATTTATCTGCAGTATATTGGTCATTGGAAAGCTTGCACTCTAGATACTGGCTTCCATTAAAAAAAATCCACAATGACCACTAATAATAGTCTAATGTAGTCATTATAATAAATTTTATATAAAGCTATTGAAGTCTCTGGCATGTGCTCATTGTGTGTGTGTGTGTGTGTGATCAGCTCCAGACAGACGTCCCTACAGGCCTGTCTTGATGAATGCATGGAGGCCTTGGATCTGTTCCTCAACAACCACTTCAGTGAGAGTTTGGACAAACTACGGCCACGGTGAGAGAAGTCTTATTATAATCCTAATGTGTTTCTGTCATTCTTTCGTTCAGTTTCTCCTCCCCTCCAGTATCTGTGTGAGTGATCTTAAGAGCAGGCGAGCTGTTTAGTAAAGGTGTGGTACCTAACATACCAACCCAATAAGGCTCTGGTTTTCAGTCAGATGCTGCTGTGAATGTGCTGGTCTCTGAAGCACTTGGTTAGTAGGAGTAGTAGATGTCATCCCATGATAGCATGCTTTATTTCCATTGTGATCGAGTTGCATCAGGTGTGCTCCCTTGTCCAGGATGTGAGGTGTTTACCTAAAGATCACACCCTCAGGTCTGACAATAGTCCTGCACACAGAGCCACTTCATTAATCTTTGGCTGGGAGAGTGAGTAACTTTATGCTGGGAAGGAAACCACATGCTTAAGTGACTCCAACCCTCATTTTTATATACAGGCCCACCTGGGAAGTACGTAATTCTTGGTTTCAGACTATAGATCTTTATTTTATTAGTATTTTAGGACAGTTTCTGGCTAGTCTGTGTTTTAAAGGTGCAGTTTATTTTAATGTTTTCTTCAATTTCATTTTAATTTACAGAGACAACTATAAGTAAGCCAATCGTAGGTTAATTTCTCTGAAGAACTATCAAAACATTGCTCTGTTTGTTTGAAAATTCTGGCATTGCAACGTCTCAGCCAATGGCATGAGTTAGGGGGCGGGACTATCTGCTTGTTCGACCAATGACAGACTGGGGAAGTTCCTGAAGAAATTATTTCATTAAAATAATTAATTAAAATAAGTCAATATTTTTAGATTCTGTTTGGTGTGACGGATATTACACACTCCACTCTTTAAAGAAAACCGTTTTATCTATTTATGAACATGAAATGCTTTAAAAAATATATATATTAAAGTGGCGTATGAAAAATGCAAATTTTTTGATGCAAGGGTTAAAGTGGTGTCAGGAAATGACAGAAGACCGATTTAAGCACCTTTTACACCAACGCCACGACCGAAATCGAATGCTTCCCTACTATATAGTATGCGAAAACATACCTTTTTTAAACGGTCGTGAAGTACGTTCAAATTCAAATGTAGTACCTACTCGGACAGAATGCAATTTCAGATGCACCACAAGTATTTTTAATCGTTCTAATTCTATGAAAATAGTGACGTTACAACTATATAATTAGATTCACTTTTTGAGTGATTTTTTTTCCAGCTGATGAACGATAAAAACATTGACGACCAATCAGAATCTACCCGACTTTAAAGAGCTCAAGAATTTAAAGCAGCACACGACAAAACTGCAGCATGCACTTATAATAAACAGAATATTAGTTATTTATTTTATTGCTTTAAATGATCATTTTAAATGAAAATATTTTATGTAAATATTTTGTTTATTGTTAACTGACAGGGCTTTAAAGTGAATAATTATAACATGAAAATACTGTACATTTGGATAAAATTATATACAAATTATTATTAAATTAATTTATTTTAAAGCTTTAATAATTTTGTTCAAACACATTTTTTATTTTAAAATATTTTTGTGTGCATCAATATTAATAATTTAAAATATTTTAATAATTTATAATATATATAAAATGTTTCCTAAAATATGTTTCTGGGAAAACTCAATTTCGCTGGATTCAATTTCAGAGCAGTTTTTTCCCCCACAGGTGATGAACAATAAAAACATTATCAGGTCGTTTCACTGCTAATTGCACAAGTCAGTTGAATTCTGATTGGCTGTTAAAACACTCGAGCATTTAAAGTGGCAGACAACAAAACTGCAAGCTGTGGACACTATACAGTTATCTTTATAGTTATCATTCTTGGTGTGAACAGGCCTTTAAGCTTGCATCACCCTAAACGAAAAATGCGTTAACCGCTAAGTCAAAGTGAAAGTAATGCGTGTTCTTGCGTGAATGTGACAGGAACATAAGTGTTCAATACTGATAGAGTTAATAATTGCATTCACTTTTTTGCATAGAGAAGGTTCAAGGCATTAACCTTCTTTATATTTAACTAGTAGCCTGCTGTGTTGGAGTGTGATCTCATGTTGTGTGTGTGTAAAAGCATGTGTTGTGTTGTATTCCAGGGCTAAGGAGAGCATGTAT